AAAAAAAGAATTCAGAGTCTGCCTACAGCATTTGTCCAGGCACAGACAAATATACAGGCAAAACACCAACAATAATAACATTTTAAAGAAAGAAATTCTGATAACCCAGTTCTAGGAACAGCACCACTGAGCCAATGACTGCCTCCAGCGTGGTTTCCCTTTGCTTTGTGTCATCCTTCTGCACCAGGCCTCTGAATCACAACTCTGAACGCCTTGCCAGGGTTTGCAGAAGGATCTCTTCATAGATAAACTGAGCAATGTTATCTACAGTTCTTCTACGAATGAGAAATTACTATTTTTCAATTATTTATTTAGTTCATGTATGTGCATGTCTATATGTGTTTGGGCAGAGGACAACTTTCTCGGGTCAAATTAAGGTTGTCTGGCTTGTGTGACAAGCGTCTTTACCTGCTGATCCCTGTCGCCAGCCCAGAAATTAACTTTCTAGGCTGTGTATGGCGGCTCATCCCTGTAGTGCAGCCCCTGGGAGACTGAAGCAGCCTGGCTGCCATGAGTGGGCAACCTAGGCTCCATACTGAGTTCCAGGCTGCCTACAGAGTGCGCTAGCTACAGAGGGCGCTTTGCCTTACCCCTAAAAAGAGGTTACATTTTTATTAAAGCTATTTGTTAAAGAAAAAAATAAACTCAGAACTGAGGTTTGTGATGAAAATATTCAATACGAAAGTCTTCAGAATAGAGCTGTGACATTAAAAAAAAGAAAGAAAGAAAGAAAGAAAGAAAGAAAGAAAGAAAGAAAGAAAGAAAGAAAGAAAGAAAGAAAGAAAGAAAGAAAGAAAAAACTTGAAATCCAAGAGTCAGATCTCCATGTGACAATGGACAACGTAGTCCAATAAAGTGTCAGAGGTTAAAGACAGACTGTGGCCAAGGAGAAATCAGCTGCCCCTTGAGGAGTGTGGCTCAAAGAGCTGAGGGGTTTCCCATTTTCCTAAAAACCCAGAAAGCTGGGACAGGAAAATGTCAGGGCAGCGCAGGTGACAGAGAGGCAGCGTTATCTACGAACCTCATGCCTGAGATTCCTCATCTCCACAGTGTCGCCGTTTCTGTGGGAAAAGAAGGGCTAGTTCTGAAAAACTATTATCACACAGACCCAATGCTTAGGCCAGGGGGACCTGGAGGAACCACAGCAACTAAGGCTACGGAGCGAGGGCTATGTGTGCCACTGGCTCTGACTCCACATTCTCCCTCCTGCCTCTGTCCCCACAGATTCCCTCTCCCAGTGCAGCCTTGTTCACTGTGGTGAGCAGAGTGATAAACACCGTGTAGTTTCA